ACGCGCATCGCATATGGTACAGAGACAACATATGATTCTATAATTGTCTTCGGTACAATGAAACAGAACATAAGTAGACTACACAGCAATTGATATGTCATGCTATAAATAGTAAAATTATGATAAGCGACTATTATAATTTAGAGTATGTAATAATTTATGTACATAATATTCGACAGTAACATTTCATATCGTCTTCTTTCTTATGCTAATTCTTAATAACTGCCAAATAAATCAAGAAAATAATAACGATGTTTAATTATTTCAACCATATTATATTGTATCTTTACATCTACTGTTCTAATTAAGATACCACTGAGAATACCATTTCTTGATCCAATAAGAATTTAGTAAATTTTAGTAGAAATTTCTTGATAGATAATTCATCTAGGTTATCTTATCTTGCCTTTCTACAATGTAAACTTTATCCTTGCTGATTATTTTTTACTAGCAATACGCAGTAATCTAAACCATAGACCTCTAGGTCTAAAAATCTACGTCCACATAGACCCTTCGAGAAAGTATACAGTAACATATGCGCATATAAAAACTATACGTATATTAAATGCGATTACAGTAGTAAATCTCTCTTTCAACCTTAAACTACGGTACTTATATTTAACTTCATATTACCTTAATGTCACCATTAACTTGATTGTTACGATTTTGTAATAATTATCAAATACTGAAGCTGATATGTAAAAGTATTACTGAGCTGATCGTTGTTGCCGTCGATATTGCCAGAAGTTAATTACTCAACTTGATGTAGTAAGTCACATATCGATTCGTTACTGTATAGAAACTGCATTAGATCTATACTGTACACATATACTGCATATCTACATGCTAGTAAATTAGTTTAGAATTGGAGTTAGCTAGAGTTTCTCATTTCTCGTTTCATTGTTAAGGTGTGATCATACCAGAGATCTCGCGTAAAAAGCTCTTTAAAAAAAGTATAAATTAATAAGGAACTTAATCGCAAATATGTAATCAGAACTTTAGCCAGATTAACATGAACTATTAGCAAATACCGTAAATAGATCAGCAGATTTAGATATTTGCTGATGTATGCTGGTATGAAGTAAAACGCGATAATAACTTTATAATACTAATAAGCTGCTAATATTACATTAAATTTTTAGAAGAATTTTGAACTTAATTCAATTAAGACACCAAAGTGATCTCCACATGCTTTTTGCCGACGTATACGGATAAAATTCTATCGATAAACCTAACAACTCAATTAAGTTTCAGCCATTGCTGAATTACTAGAGTGCTTTTACATATCATCTCTTATTTACATGTTTTCTTAAGCCTTAAATAATTCTATTTCTATCAAGAACTATTCCTTGAAATTGATAGCTAATCTCATATCAGGCATTGAGACTTTTAGCTGTTATTTAACTGCTAATTATATAATCCTTATTAATCTAAATTATCAATACGATTAAGTAGACGTATTATTTAAGAGTTATCGTCCTTTAATTAAACAAATTCTTCAGTATTGTAAATCTAATGACCTTTATAAGCGATTTATAAATTATGATTTCCTATTTTATGGCTTAGATTTAAGTCTTAAAACGCACAAAGAGTGCCTTGATAAAGGACTTGTGTGCCATCGCCATGCAATTTGTGTTACTGAAGTTTATAATGACACCCTAAGATATAACTGTCGCTGCGGTCGTGGCTTTAGTGGTAATGGAAGCTACTGCGAAGGTAAAATGGTTTAATGGATTGCCTTAAAAGCTTGCTGCAAGTAAACTCTTCTGTATATATGAATAGTCTCGATAATATATAGAATTTTATGAAACTATCTATCAAATAATGTTAGTTTTTAAGAAAAAAAGTTAGACTACGAATAGTTAAAGCAATCATCATACCTATCATCAGTATTTATTTTATTTATTTCTATATCTTGATATACGTAAAATTCTACGCGGTCTTCCTTAATTCTGTACCTTACTCTGTATTAGTGTTATACAAAAATTATAAGCGAGCGTTTGTGCAGCTAATATTTCAACGATTAATAATATCATTATAATACTATTATTGATATGATCGCTATAAATGACTTATAAAAATTCTACGATGGAAGGAAGTAATTCTAAAGTAGCCACATTACATTTTGTAATTTGTAGGTACTTAAATATTTTTAGTTTTGTTAAATTAGTATTATACTTGATAAATCCTGCAAATTTTGAATAGTCGTATGTTACAGTTGAAGGCAAATGCCTACTTTGACCTATCTATTAATGGATTAGTCCCTACATTCTCATTTGCATCCATGAAAGTGATTGAAAATTCATGATTTCAATTCTTCTAGATATCGATGAATGCCAATACCCTAAATTATACTGCCCTTATCCACATCAGACGTGCATTAATAAAGAAGGTTCCCATGTATGCAAATGTGATGCAGAAACAACCGGTCAGAGATTTTACAGCAACAATTGCTCAGGTAATTTTAATAGAATTACTTATAACAAATAGATCAGTGTATGACATTAGTAATTTTAAACTATGTAAATTTAATTACTTTCTAGAGTAAGTCTGTGCAATTGTTTTGAATGATCATTTCAAGCTGTACAAACCATATACTATAACAGTGTGACCTTTGTGTCTGACTCTGATTCCTTACCCCTACAGCATGTACTTTAAGATGCCCAATCAATGGATCATCCTGCAAAATTTGGACTAACAACGTAGCATATTGCAGGTAAATTTAATGCTATTGCTACTAATTTATAGAATATACTCGGTAAAAATAATGAACTATAATAATGTATATAATATAATTTATTTCCTATTTAGATTCTATTAGTTCTTGGCTACTAATATTAATTTTGAATTCATCTATAATGTTGCACCAAATGCACTTAGTTTAGGCTATTCGTTTTCAATCCTTGCAATTAATTATTATTTCACATATCAATAGCCGGCGACTAAATAGATAATGTTGCGTCAGTAATAATGAACATGTTGCGATATCTAATTATAGTATATGTTCAGATACATATATGTGTAAGAATAGGGAAGAATTGATCGTTACTTATAGTTAAATCCATTATATAATGTACAGATTTCTAAGACTGTGTTCAACTGATTAAACTTGAACATTGTTATTATAGTTACCTAATTAAATTTAAATCGTTGCAAGATTGAATTTTATTTATTATAATTATTAATAGTAAACAAAAATCAGAACATTAAACTGCACATGATGATATCGCGCAATTATAACTAAAGTTAATTATCAACCATAATTATACTGTACATAAACTTCTTTATTCTGTGTATCAAACATTAAGGCAATTCAAGTATGTTATGAGCCTGGAGTATTTTTAGTTGCAACAAAAGTCGAAAGTGTAACTTCGCATATTTAAGTCACTTTAAATTGGATTAAAAATCAGTTGATATTCCGACAGAGATATAATTATATTAAGCTCGATGACGCTTTCAATCTAGCTAGATAATCTTAATCTACCATACTTTGTTGTCGGTGAGACGTGCCTTCTATATAAGTTTAGGTAGTAATAACTGATTGAACTAAATTAAGGATTGCTTACGTATCAATCCTTAACCATTGCTGGCAAAAATGTATATGTCAACATATATATTAACGCAAAATGAAAATAATCTACAATGTACACCTCACAAAGTTTTTTCGTAACAATGTAACATAATTAATTCTATAATTATCTTATAACAGCAGAACCGGGGAAACTGATAGGCATAAATATGTTAATGCTCCTTGTAAGTATATTGTCGAAAGATATTTTTACTTACTGTTTAGCTACCGGCACTAATCAATATGGTTATGATATACGATCACAAATTTGTGTAAAATTACTCGCTTCTACGCGTATGCAGCATGATCTAATTTTAGTACAGTGCTATGTTATCATTATTAATAATCTCTATGACTAGCGAGTGGACTTGAAATATTTTTTAAACATTATATTTCATACTACCATTCTTCTAGTTCCAACAATAGTAATTGCTTTTATTACTGGTGGAATTAGTCTGATTGTCATCATTATTCTGCTTGGCACATTTTTCTTCCTGCAAAGAAAGTTTCACTTAAAATTTGGCGATCATCGCGGATGAAACTAGTATTTTAATGCTGTATGGTGTTTGAGAGTTGAAATCCTATATACTCAAAGTATAATATGAATGTTTTCTAATAGTAAATACATCTTAAATGGATCGCTTTTTGAATGAGCCATCCCGTACTAAATATGTTAGAAGAAATAATACTGTCTAGTGTCTACTTGCTTTACTAGAATTTAATTTACTAGCATGGTAAATAAGTAAGTCAGCTATGGTTGCAAATAATGTTTGGTAATAACTTAATCATTAGAGTATTAGCAGTTTAGCAAGGATTAAATTTATGATATATTCTCTTACACCGGTCGAGTTCCTATAATTGATTTTTAAATTCGCGTAGAAAAAGATCAAGTAAACCTAAATACAGAATGGGTCCATCAATGCATAACCTAACTATTAGCTATTATTCTAATGATAAAATTCACTAGTCCTAATTCAAAGCTTAATGGTATCTCAATTAAATAGTAAAATTGGAATTGTAAACTGCATAAGTTCAATTTTTGATCTTGATATTTAATGCTGAGCAACATGACGAATTTAAATTTAAAATTGTAGCTAACGCTATACAGTAACAGAGATCTGCCGTAGGTTCATACCATGAATGTGTAGAAAGAACGCACTGTTTGCGATACGAAGAAAAAAATATATTTGATACTCGTAGTTAGCAAAGGAGTGCATCAAGTCTGAGGATTAGTCATCTAATAAGGCATTTGGTATTTATTTTCGTTCAATTAACAACTACAAAACATACAGTCGAAATAACGACTAAACAGTTATTATGCATAAAACAAATACTCGTAACAAGTATTGGATACTGTATATTAGGTTTACTTATTAATTATATAATAACATAAAAGATTAACGAAGGCGAAATGTATGCTACAAAAACAAAGTACATAAGATATTAAAATTATAACAATGATAGTTTCAGTATTTCGCGGGATTTCTTCTGTGGAGTATTTTAGGATACTGAATAGTTTTATATAAGATCGGAAACTGTAAAAGAAAATAAAAATAGAGGCGAGGGTTATAAAAGTTATTTGGTATAGCAGAACTGTAATAGCTAATGGAGTTCAATGTATGAACATGAAGTGTAGAATGAATCCAATACGAACCGTTCATGGGCATTTCATCGATTTGAGTACTGTAATACTGTTCGATGTCACGAAGGATTCTGATATCGTCACTCTTAACAAAGTTAATAGCCACACCTTTACGGCCATAACGACCTGAACGACCGATTCTGAAAGAAAAATTGTTAATCTTGCTGAGTACATTGTGAATATATTTGAATTGAATAGCAATCATGAACATTGATGCACATACCGATGGATATACAATTCACGGTTATTGGGTAGATCATAATTGATGACCAGAGACACCTGCTGAACGTCGATTCCCCTGGCCCAGACATCAGTGGTAATAAGTACCCGGCTATAGTTATAATCATAGACACAGCATATTCATTATTCACCATAAAACAAGCTATCCTATCGAGTAAGGTCATGATTATTGTATTAACCTAGCACCGGATCTAAACTCTTTCATGATTGCATCTCTTTCTTTTTGTGGCATATCGCCATGCATAGATGAAACTGTAAAATTAGCTTCGCGCATTTTCTCCGTTAGCCAGTCAACCTATCATTTATAATTTATAGCTGTTACTATAATATGGCTAATTGGTTATTATTTCAAGTAACAAATTACAAGTCGTGCTAGCCATTGATTTACTATCGTTTACTTTACCTTTCTCTTTGTATTGCAGAAAATAACTGCTTGTGTAATTGTCAAAGTATCGTATAAATCGCAGAGTGTATCAAATTTCCATTCTTCGCGTTCAACAGCAACGAAAAATTGTTTTATCCCCTCTAATGTCAATTCATCACTATAACATGTACGAATAAGACAAGATCATTCAATTATTTTAATGGTGGCGTAGCAGGAGCATTCAATGGATTGACAACACTACTAATGAATGATCGTTACAGTCTAAAGTAAAAATTGATGTTGTAGTGCACTACTTCAACTTGGTGTCAAAATTGAAAACTGACCGCTTGACTAGAATACGCATAGGCTCTGTCATAAATTTACGAGTCATTTCTAGAATATCGTGTGGAAGAGTAGCACTCAGGAGAACCACCTAAAGATAGTATGGAGAATAATGAATAAGTATATTTCGTATTTTCCGGTTATCCGATTGATTGGCTTGATAATAATAAGTTGCTTACTTGAGTTGAGGGAGGCAAGTAACGATATACATCATAGATTTGCTCTTTAAAGCCTTGGTTAAGCATTTCGTCAGCTTCATCTAAAACTAACATCTTGATGGATCGAGTACGCAAATTTCTTCGGCGAATCATATCTAATAAATTAATCAAGTAATCGTGTGTTAGATAAGCAATGGATTGTTTCATGCAATCATTTCAATCGTCGATTTATAGCAGCGAAAGCAGGATACTGTGTTATGCTATCGAAACAGCCTACACACCAAATACTCTTCCTGGAGATCCTGATACTATATGTTGACCATAGTCCAACTTTCTGATATCTTCACCAACATTAGTGCCTCCGATGCAAGCATGACATTGTACATTCATATAATCGCCCAATGCCAGTATTACCTATAGAACGGTAGTGCGGTCAAACAAGATGGAATATATCCATATTTACTGTCAATCTTGACTTACTTTCTGTATTTGGACAGCTAATTCACGAGTAGGTGACATGATTAAAGCTTGTGTTTCTCTTAACTGCAAAGAAAGAGAGGATTCATTGGATTGTAATTTAATTTTGATAGTGTACGTGTGCGAAAAAGAAACCTCAAAATTGAATAACTCATCCAAACCTGAGTATCAATCGCTTGTAGGACAGAGATTGAGAATGTGGCAGTCTTGCCTGTTCCGGATTGAGCTCTATTTAAAAATAACATTGACAGTGAATTTATCATCGATAATTTATATCTATCAGGATAATCATTGATTCCTATTTTGTTGGCTTAGACGTTTGGATTTCTAAATCTGAAAGATAAGCTATAGCCAATGTAGTAGAGAAAGGGTTACTTACTGAGCAATCACGTCGCGGCCTTCTATAATAGGCTTAATTGATCTTTGTTGGATAGCGGAAGGTTTTTCAAAGCCTAACAAGATAGAAAAGACCTAATTGAAAACGATTCCAAAGATGAAAGTATAATACAAAACAAGACTCATTCTGCTCTTTCTAATTTCCAGTGTCAAGTAAGGGATATGTGCCCATATTTTTCTTCACAGTAAGTCGATTTTGGGATTGAGTCTACTAGAAGAGAAACTATATCAAGGAAATGTTGCTATGATGTCATGGAAAAGAATACAGGGATATGGTACAACGTCCAACAATGATCGCTATTCCATCATTGGATGCCAAAGGTATAAATTCATATTGACTAGTCTCAAGGGTTTGATCTTAACACTTTACAGACATTAACGGAATGACTATGTATTTCCAATTCATGGTCCAAAATGAGCCATTCAAATGTGACTTTTTCCTCCAACTTGTACCGTACACAATTAGTCAATTCGCTTGCAAACTACTGGATCAATAGGGTAAAAGGAATCGATACGATGACTACGCTTGGCTAAAAAAAGGGGCTGGCAAAGCGTGAAGAAGAGATTACGATATTGGTTGGTATCGTTATTGAATAGGCTATCTGAAAAATGAGATTGGCTATTCTTTGACTGGAGTCTTGCATTGATGGTGCTGTTGCTCGCTATATAGCAGCAACGAGATCAACAGGGTAAAAGGAATCGATACGATCACTACGGTTGGGTACAAACAAGAGCTGACAAAGCATGCCAAAGGGATTGCGATTTTAGTTGCTGTATGTGGCGATTGAATATCCTATCCCCAATGCTTTCAAGGGTTTGATCGCAATACTTTACAGACATTGACCGAATGACAATTTCAATTTCATGGTCCAAAATGAGTCATTCCAAAAATGACTTTTTCCTCCACCTTGTACCGTAGACAATTCTTGTATCCTGTTTGGCTTGCAAACCACTGGATCAACAGGGTAACAGGAATCGACATGATCTTTCCAGTTGGGTACCAAAAAAGGGGTGACAAAGCATGAAGAATGCCTGAAGAAGGCATGAAGATTTGAGTTGGTGTCGATCGCTATTGAATATGGGAAAAATGAGATTGGCTATTCTTGACTGCAGTCTCGTATTGGTGCTCGCTTACCCACTACTGGATCAACAGGGTAAAAAGAATGGACACAATCACTACGGTTGGGTAGTAAAAAAGGGGTGACAAAGCATGAAGAAGGTATGAAGAAGGCATGAAGAAGGCATGAAGATTTGAGTTGGTGTCGATCGCTATTGAATATGGGAAAAATGAGATTAGCGATTCTTGACTGCAGTCTTGTATTGATGCTGGCTTACCCACTAATTGGATCAACAGGGTAAAAAGAATGGATACAATCACTACAGTTGGGTACTAAAAAAGGGGTGACAAAGCATGAAGACGGTATGAAGAAGGCATGAAGAAGGCATGAAGAAGGCATGAAGAAGGGATGAAGAAGGCATGAAGAAGGCAGGAAAAAGGCAGGAAGATCTTAGTTGGTGTAGATCACTACTGAATATGGGAGAAAGAGGAGATTGGCTATCATTGACTGCAGCCTTGTCTTGGTGTTGGCTGACCAACGAATGGATCAACAAAGTAAAAAGAATAGACACTACGGTTGGGCACCAAAAAAGGGGTGACAAAGCATGAAGAATGTATGAAGAAGGCAGCAAGAAGGCATGAAGAAAGCAGAAAGATCTTCGTTGGTGTAGATCGCTATTGAATATGGGAAAGAGGAGATTCTTGACTGCAATTTTGCATTGGTGCTGCTGTTGCTCGCTTACCGTAAGCATAAATGCCTCGAACGAGATCTTCCTTTAGACCCATTTGATCAAAACTACGAATGACTTTAACACCTTTACTGGTTTCAAATTCAGTCTGGTCATCATCCATTTCGGTCGCTGCTCCTCGTTTAGACGCCATGACGAGCAATATCAGCAATCAATGTTGAAATGAGCGAGAAAGAAAATGGCTGCAAAGATCTTTCAAGACTTGCTGTCAAGACTGGGGCAAGAAGAGTGTCGCTGATGGATGCACCAACTACCCTGTTGTATACTATAGACTGCAGGCAGTGTTTGATACAGTCCATCGACGTCGTCAATGCGCACGCTTCACTGACTGCACGAGAGCGGTTTTCTGCCCAGCGAGCATTTTAAACAGGCTAGTGTTCGATACAATAGTGTATCGTAGTCATGTTTGTAAGAGGAAGAAACTATTTTCCCGCAGTGGACTGCAATGAGGCGCACTGCATCGGGAGTAGTGTACTTTGTACTGTAAGCACCTGCCAGGACTGTGACTGTAGACTGTGGACGGTGGAGATTGGTGGTTGCCAGTCATGATCCTGCAATTCCAAATGCTTTGCGTCAGAAACCGCTCGTCACTGGTACAGTATGGTACAGTAGAGTATTGTTGCATGCAATCCAACATCGTGCCAGTCATGATCCTGCAATTCCAAATGCCTGGGGTCAGAAACCACTCGTCACTGGTACAATATGGTACAGTAGAGTGGTATAGCATGCAATCCAACATCGTGCGACCAGCAAAATCGATCTGGCTAGCCAAAAAAGAAAGAAGGAAGAGGCAAGAGACAGCAAGCAACACTGTTTAAAACTCTTACAGTTTGCAATAACGCTGAAAATCAGCTGCCAAGTGCGTTGGCAAGAATGGCCACTCTGTATGGAAGAGAGGTCACCCTAGATGAAATCAATCTACCCGACGGGTCATTTCCATCGTCGACGAGACGATGATAGTCATTGACCATTTTCCGTCCGTCCCTCTGTAAGATCAGACGCCAGTTTCCAGTACAGTACAATACAACTAGTACGGTCCAGTCTACGGACAGGACTACAGTATTTCCATCCATCCATCCACGAACAGTAGTGTGCAGTGTACAGTACAGTCCTGTACACTATCTACAGTACTTTTTACGGCCAGTGATCACCGCTAATGAGTATTTCCATCCATCCACCCACGAACAGTCCTGTACAGTACAGTACACTATCTACAGTACTTTCTACGGCCATTGTTTCCATCCGTCCATCCTTGATCACCGCTATAGTCACTAGAATCTACACTGTACTGTACAGTGTACACTAGAGACTCTCTATAGAGTCTAGAGTCTACTGTACACTGTCCAAGTTGTTTCCATCCATCCATCCATCCTTGATCATCGCCGGTCAACACGCTTGTCTACCGAGGATACAAGTGTATCAGTGACGAGACTGTTTTAGTACTAGAGCAGAGAGACTTGACACTAGGATCGGTTGCAAGCAAGCGATCAATTGGATTTGACTCAACCGGCAAGTAGTAAACCATACAGCAGCGTCAGAGAGTGGCGTCAACCTTCCATTGCGTCATCACTCTCCACATCATCATAAAGATGGCTGGAAAATAACCTTCCATCATCATCAACAATAACAAAAGAATGAATTGGCCCCGACAAGATGGAGCAACAACATTCAATATCGATACAATCCCACTTAACATGTCCAGTATGCTTTAGAATGAGGGAGAGATTTATCTGTACTCATTGCTCTCGCTATACTGGTCCAGATCAAACGAGTGAGAGGTAAGCTAGTCGACGATCGATGCCACCAAAGTCTACTGTAGAATTATCCTCTAAAGTGCCAGGAAAGGAAAAAAAATGTTTTTCATCGTTTGTTTGTTATGTAACTGCTGTAAATTCAATAGTCGATTCATGATTGTATCCATTGCATTCTCCAACATACATACAACGTCCTTTTCACAAAGTGATACTTAGGCCATGACCGATAGCATTGAAATGAAGCTAATTTGCAATATAAGCAAGGCTGATGTTGTTGAATTATTATTTTCAACGCCATCATATCAGCAATCAATATTGTAATCGACTGCTTTCCAACCCAAAAAGGAAGGCATCGCTTGCTTATGAGTGCTATTTGCATCAGAAGAGAATGAGAAAAATACACTACTCGTTGATAGAAGCAACAACCGGTCTACTCGACAGACAGGATAATGTTGCCTTCCCATCGGATTGAGTCAATGTAGTACAATCAATCATATCTGAATAAAAGATCACTTTCCAGGGGAATGCAATGCGTACACTCTTATCTATTTACACATTTTCCGTCCAATTGTTCTTCTTGTTGTATCATCGCCCATGACTTGCTCAATTTACAGTTACTAGATCTCAATATTCTTGTCATAATCATCTTGCTTTTTGGCCACTAATGGTATTTTTCTATTTTTAAAATGATTACTCAACAGCTTCAACGATAAATTATTACGATATCAACAGAAATTTCAACTTAAAAATAACTTATCGGAAAGGTAAGCATTGCCGTCTTGGTATCATTTCACCATACTACAAGTGTATGTACAGCATATATTCATGACTGCATACTTAGCAGAAAATTCTGATTCTTACAGTAGTCAATCATGCAATCAATGCAGACGATAATCATCTTATCTCATGGTTCTGTATACAGTACATGGTAGTTCAGATTCAGTTGTAGACAATACACTATACATAGAAGACCTGGCTAGACCTTTATGTTGACGTTAAAAGTAGTTCTACAAGAACCAATGGAAAGAGAACCTTATACAAATCAATCATAACTGCAGTATTCGCAGATCGTATGATGACATGAGTTGAAGATAAACTACTAATTCAACAGTAGTAATATTATGTTCTGTTGTGGAAATGTATTTCCTGTATCATGCACCCACATTACATATTATTAATCATTCAAGAATAATCTGCTACTGGACTGACAAGTTGAGTCTAGTGTTGAAGGATACAATAGAGTAGCATAGAGTACATAATCTTATTGATCTCATTGGAATGTCTTGTCAACAAGATTGATGTAAAACGCGTTGTAGAGCCAATATCTTTTTAATTTTCCTTCGTTGAATTGTTTAACGTCTAACTTACTCATAGGTAGTAGTAGCTGCAGTATAATACCATCCCGTTGAATATTCTATAAAACAGATCGAAAATGATATAATCCATTTTCTCCATCATACCAGTATTATCGTACACAATAATTTGAAAAATTAATAACACAAATGATTTACTTGCAATGGATTTCAATTTCTACAGGATAAATCAAACGTTGATGAAACATGAAATTGCTCTAAGTACAGTAAGTATTGTCGTATTAAAAATTAGCATCAACAATAATGATTCAAAATCCGTATGCAACTATCGTAAACAGAGTGAACTCCATATTCAATACGGCGTACTCGTGTTATTAGGACTCTTTATTATCGTACGTTATAGTTATAATATTAACCTTAGTTTATAAATCTATTTCGTCATGATAACAGAAAAATCAAATCCTAGAAAAGCAACACAGGATTCAATGCCTTAAAGCACTCTATCATTGCAATAGAAAAGAAACCGAAACAGGTTCTGCACTAGCTCTCACAAACCATTTCTTAAGCGCTCATTTATAAATTAGACTCTGGATTGTTTAAAAATTTCTTTATTACGCGGATATTAACTAGTGCATGTACACAAAATGATGATTATCATTCATTATTATCCACTGTAGTTCGAAAAGAAGTAAAAAAACTCTACTCTAATATTGAATTAATGAAGAAAAATGGTAAAATGTGGAAGAAATTTCTCCGAAAATATAAGGCGAAATTGAATAGCAAAATTGTATGTAGCATTTGATTTTTCTTGACTTCAATAGCCATGTCTTTTAATTGACAACATAATGGTGGTAATAGACCGACTTTAAAAATATCCATATTGAGACAATAATTTAAAGAATCTTACTGACATATTAACTTTTGAATGTCTTGTCATCCTCTAGGTAAATGCATCGCAATCTAAAATCAATCTCGAGAAATTATCTACAGAGTTGTATAATATTCGTTGTAAAAATGCTCGAGCATTGGTCAGGGATCTCTTTCCAATTAGACACATACCAGCTAAATTACTATCAAGTGATCTTAATCCAATACGTACTAAATCTGCCGAAGATAATGTGATACAACGCAGTGCTTGCGACCGCAGTCATGCTGATGATAAAGGATTCGATGCTTGTGATGATAATTGCAGTCTATCTGATGAACAATTATGGGATTTAGTTGAGGCATCCAATACAGTTTATGTCAATGGCAAATGGGTTTCACTACATGACGATAATGATGATAAACATTCTGTTCTTGGTGCTATGCTACCTACCAATGGAGATTACCAAGCATATTTTGTTTGGAGTAAGTTGGATTAATTATCAAAGCATCGTTTTAAATTAATTTTAAATGTCATATTTTAGCTTGAGTTTCACCTGATCAGTGACATTATTCAATTTGAATAGTATCAGAAAATTCTAGCATTCCAACGGAACGATCTGGTAAATAAAATCGACTAACGGATTGAACTCTTAAAATTTTAAATTTCGACCGGATGATAACATCTATAATTATTAATGCAATAACACTATAATTTACTTCCTCATGTTTATCTTAGCTACTGAAGTACCTGCCCTTCTCGAAAATCCGGCCTATCATATTAATGCTGCTTTCCTGTATACTACCCAACTTGTAAATATTCTATCGATGTATTTGGATACCAATCTACCGTATAAGCTCTGTTATAGGTATTACATAGATAATTGAATGATGTTGTTATACGTATATTCTATTATTTTGAAACAGGATCAAAGCGTTAATAGAGTACTTCTGACGTTTTAGCTACAGTTCTAATTCATATTAACTTACAGCTCTCTTCTATAATATTTTAGTGAATTTTCAGATATGATTTTCGATCGCCAAAAGTTTGATACCGCCGTTTCTAAGTTAAATTACAATGTACTCTATTTGTGTTCATTACAGGTAATTTACTTAATGAACCTTATAAATAAAAACTGTATAAGCATGAAAAAGATAAGATGGAATACTTCTAGATAATGCCTCCATTCGTATCAAGAGACAATAACTTGCATTTTATTGCTTTTCGGCTTTCATAGTATCAAAAATCTTACGAATTAATTTCAACGGAAATATTGAAAAATCTCAGATTATGCATCGATCCAGATAATGACTGTCTGGGCAGGTAGATCTTCATAAAACATAACGATGAAGTTTGATCTTGATGAAAGAATCTAGGATACAATTTGCATTAAATTGTATTTTCTATTGATCTTTCAGACAAAATATTTATGAATTGGATCCGAATACTTATTTCCTGCTTGATACATGCACTGACAGTAATATTGATCTTGCTAAAAATCAAGATGAACTCACCCAAAGTACAGAAATTGATAGCGATGATGTTGAAATGAGTTGGATTAATAGCGCTTCTCCCGGTATATTGATTGTCTATCTACAGCAGTTTAAGTTGCATAAATAATTATCTACGCGTAATATAAAGTATCAATAGGTATTGATTAATCGATTTTATTTTACATTATTGATCTGGCTATCCTAGCAGGAAACGAAATAAAAGAACTAATGACAGATTCACCACATGACGAACTGAACAGCGGCGATATCAGTGCAGACGAATCACTCGCGTCAGCATCAAGTTTGGTTTTTTCTGCAGCTGCTTTGGTTAAATACTGGTGGCAATATGCAACCAATGAATAATAATAATTATGACTGGTTATCAATAATTTAACAACTATTCTTTACATTACTTCTTAAATTATAAGTTATGATGATTTCTCCGTAAATTGTAATTTCAACATACTACATGCATTTAAAGACAGCTTTTATATCGATTTATTGACCGTATCAATGATGATAAATAAATCTCTTTAAAGATTGCAATCATAACATTTAATGGCATGAAGATTGTAGCAACGTCAAATAATTTGCTTTCAATATCAAGATAATTTGGATAACTGTAGAATTTGAAATATTATCTTTACAATATTACATATAAAACTGTATCGGGTAGGGGCTTAAATTGGATATACCACTCAAATAATAATTAATAGTAGGTACAGTAAGATGCAAAAATGTTAGAATGCTAGAGTTATTGTTTATTGTTAGGCACGATATTAATATAAACAGGTTTGTGATGGTAAATAATCGTATTCCTTTTATATAAGCATCAACGCTATTTTGTACATCTGATACCATAAATAGTATTTATGGTGCTATCATAGAAAACGAAATGCTATCACAAGTCCAGTAATACTATTACTACGCACATCCGAAAATGCTCTTTTGATATAAAGGCAAAGCTTAATTCGTAATAAATCGATTCATGATCATTCCTAATTTACAGTATCATGAAATCAGCATAGCCATCAAATCCAAGTAATCGTAATTCAAAGTCAAGGCGTTCAATGGTTTAATAAAGATCACGTATTGAATGCTTCAGTTCAGGTCGGTACAGATACTTAATTACATTCAACAAATAAATACTGTAATCTCCAAATCTTGTATTATACACAACAGCCAATCGGCTAACAGGTACCTAAGCAACATTTTCAACACAATAATACTGCAATGTTACAGAGGAAATACTAGAAAAAGCTTAATTTGTTTCTTGACTGCCTAACGACAAAGGCGTTGCAGGGGTGGAAGATGCAGGGCTAGTTCGATTTGAAGCTTCATGAGATATTGCGCTATTTGAGGCAATTGAACCCGCAGATCTAGATGTTCGTAACGATCTTCCTATTGCTAAATTAGCAGAGGGAGCTGTTAAATTGTAACCGTAAGCGGCAAATGCGGCGGCTGCTCCTGCTGCAGCACCAGCAGCGGCCGCAGCTGCCGCAGCAGCTGCACCGCCTCCTCTTCCGCCACGTCCTCCTCTACTCCCTCTAGTGGACCGACGACCTCTTGTACTTCCTGCACCTCCAGTTGTGCCTCCAGCCCTACTCCTCTACCTCTACCTCGACCTCGACCTCGACCTCGACTTTTCTCGACATCGATAGGCGACATCTGTAATTGATTATCAGGAATACTGGAAGTTTCGCTACCAACTTCGGTAACAGAGATATTAGCATTATCTATATCATCTGCTTGTTCAATTTCACCATCTATCGACATTCCCTCCAGTCCAGATAAACTTCCGTTCGCGCTATTTGTTACAAACTCAATCGGTTTATCGATAGTTTCGACATCTACAATAACTGGCTGTTTCTTCTTTCTTCCACGTTTGGCTGGTGGTTTATCAGTTCCATTTTCTCTCTTTTTCTTCCGCTCTTTGGATTGCCCACCTAAGGCTTTTCTTTCCTCTTCCTTTTGCTTAAATTTCTTCTCTAAATCATCATCATCAAGCAATAACGAAACAACCTCTCTAGATTTCAAAGCGTCTGGCTTAAAATTTCCACCTGAAATTACCATCTTTTGAATCTCACTCTTTTCTTGAGCTCGTTTCAATATACGATTTTCGATAGTACCACTTGTTACCAGACGATAAACAGTTACCTGCTTTGTTTGACCTAATCTATGAGCTCTATCCATTGCTTGCTGATCAACAGTTGGATTCCAATCGCTATCGTAAAATATTACGGTATCGGCAGCGGTTAAGTTTATTCCTAGACCTCCTGCTCTTGTGCTTAATAAAAACGCAAATATATCAGATTTACTTTGAAAATCGGCTACCATATCACGTCTATCAGATATTTTGGACGATCCGTCTAATCGCATATATATATGTTTTCTAAATCCCATATATTCTTCCAATAGATCAATCATTCTCGTCATTTGTGAATAGATCAGGACGCGGTGTCCTTCAAATTTTAATTTTTTAAGTAGCACATCTAAAATTCGCAATTTTCCACTATCTGTAACTAGCGATTTTTTATCCGGAATTGCCATATATGACCATCCATTGAGAGGCCGTACTACTTCCCAATCTATTACGTTACGTAGACTAGTATGAAGACCCTCTCGTAACTTGGTGCCTTTCCGTGCAGGATACCAACTTGAGAGACTTTTCATAGATGATGTTTCTATGTCCTTATTGGCCGCACCACGATCAACACAATAAGTACTAACATTTGGAGCAATAGCTTTCGGTATATAGCAAACTAAAAATGACGGGCATGTCGTAGGCATTGTTTTAAGTATGGTGGATTTACTGTTCGTAACCTGATGGCTAGGTGACGACGTATTATTCAATTTCTGTGACGTTTCCACATCAATTTCCTCTACATTTTCTTCATTACCACCGTCTAAACTAGAGACTTGAGTAATAGACGACGAGCACACCGAAGCCAAAATATTATTGTGGATAGCTGAAGCCTTTGAATAAATGTGGTGATCTTGATGAGATATAACAGCATTCGTATAGCTTGTAAATATCAAGTTACGAAGGCAACTACTAAAGCGAGATGAAGGAAAAGAGCAACGAAATGTCGGCCACAGTATCAAGAAATAATTTTTCGTGTAACTATAAATAAATACAAAAAATTGGTTACGATAGGCAATAGTTTATAAATAAACTTACATAATCAATAGAGCTACGTTACCTATAAAGTTCTTCTCTACATTCTGGATAGTTTACTCTTAACATATGTCTAAAGTATATTTGAATGGCATGTTCCATTGTGGTATTCATCATTGATAATCTGGTGAAATTAGATATGAAAAATTAGTGGCGAATCAATTCAACATAACGTAAAAAAATATCAACTATAGGTTAGCGAACCTTGTCTGATTTAATGAAGAAGTAATAGCTGAAAATTCAGCAGGTGAAAGATTAATAAATCTTGTAAAGGAGTAACCATTGGAATAATCTATGACAGTATAAATCGTCATTTTAATTTGTAACGGCAGCAAAAATTGGCAAGCAACCTTCGAAATTTAAATTTATCCTACCTAATGTGGATACTTTGAATAACGAGTTATACACGTGGAAAGGGTTCGTTAGATTAAGATCGGTCATAAAATATCTAAAAAATAATAATAAAGTACATTTCAATTAAAATAGTAGTCGCAGGTACAAATATAACATTGATAGCTACTAGCATTAAAAAGATCGGCTTAAATTGTGAAATATAGGCTAAGATTACCTTGATTTCTTAATTTTATAAGTTGCTAAATTCATGCCTACGTAATTTATCCAGAGATGAGGCAAAAAACCTATATCAGCTTTTATCTAATACAATATTTCAATGGATTGAAAGTTGATACTTTTAGATACCTTCGTTATGTATTAATTTTGGTAACTGATACTTTATCGCCTTCATCCACATTGGAGATCTTACATCTCTTCGCTCGAATAGTTCGGGATGATTACAGACCTTAAATCGTGCAAAGATAGTTTATTTAATTGACATTAATGTATCCTACTATCGTTTCTATCACTATTATTATTAACCTTTCTAAATTGCATAACGAGGTTCATTAGACTACTAGTTGCAGCGGAATTTGAAGAGGAATGCGATGAATGTACTAGATCTTCTATCGAAATTTTCCTTCGTAAAGCTTGATATAATAGCGTCTGACGGCTAGTAAGTTCACAAGTAAGACGAATTTCGATCTAGTTGCCAGAAAATACCGTCAGTATTGTCAATAAAAATATGATTACACATACCGATCTTTTAACAAAGAGGAATAAATTGCTAAAAGGCTACGTTGTAAATTTAAATAGATATTGTTCAATTAAAACAGTACTCAAATTAAGTTGCTTAAATTACTTTTTCGGCCATCTCATTTTCTACGTCTTTCTTTATTCTTCTTAACATGAAGGGCTTGAGTATCATATGGAGGCGTGAAAGTTGGTCTAACCATGAAATTCAATTAGTTACACTTCATACTTTACAAACTATCCCAAGTATTTATGTTACGAAGAAGTTTAATACTGAAAATGTTAAGTGTTTACTACGTCATGAGTAATTTACTTTCATCAATGGCTGATTTATTTTCAGCATGACTTTCGATATCTTTCGAAAACCATTCATTAAATTCTTGATGGCAGTCAAATAGTGTAGGCATTATAAAATGCAAAAGTGCCCATAACTGAGGAGAAATGAAAAGGAGATTAGGCCTAGTTTACTAGTTAAATTGGAATGCAATGAATAGCATACAAATGAATGTGTACCTCAGCCATGCTATTCTGAATTGGAGTTCCAGTTAATAGTAGTCGATTACGACAATTGAAGCTAAGGAGTATTTTCCATCGTGCACTTGAGCTACTCTTTAACGCTTGCGCTTCATCAAGGACCATATATTGCCAATTAATCTTTTGAAAATATCGCATATCTTGAACAATCTGTAGGTAATAGAGACGTTAAACTTTGCTTAGATAAACTAGTTCTTTACAATAGAGTAACTAATCATATTTAATTTTACCAATTGATAACTTGTTATTAGAGCATGAAAAGGCGAGTCGTCAGCGGTAAATTCTTTCTGCAATGATATCGGTAAAATTTTAGAAGACGCCATTATAAGAATATATTGGAAATAGGTTTAGATCTACCTGTGACCAAAATTTTCGCAATGCTTTTCGATCGCTCTGATTTCCCCAGTATGGCAAAACCTATCAATTTTATTGCCCAAACATGAGTTAACTGATGCCTAGCTGCAGGAGAGTATTTGCGGGGTCTACTTTAGGATAACTTACCTTGAATTTTGGAGTGAATTTCATGAATTCCTGCTGCCAATTATGTAGAGTGGAAGCAGGAGCTATCACCATGAATGGTCCCCAAATATTTTGGGTCTTTACAATAAACAAATGGAATTATTTGGAGGTTCTAAGCAATCACTTAATAGCTACTAGGTAATATTTATAGAATTATATATTCTAACCTCCGAAAGATAAGAAAGTAATGCAATAGATTGAACGGTTTTACCAAGTCCCATTTCGTCTGCCAGTATGCCATTGATACCCTAAAAATAGAGAATGATACTTATAATAGCTGCTGCACTAGTAATGCCTGAGAAACAAGTACTTTCATAGTAATATTTAATTCCGGATTGTAATGCAGTCAATTCACCTGATTGTATAAATTTGCCAACCAGTTCATACCCTATTATCATTAATGCAGCATTATAAACTATGAATTAATGTATCACGTCATCAAATTAAAGATACAAAAGTAAAAATGTTACCTTCAGTTGGTAAGTTTTCAGTTGTCCTTGAAACATCATTGGCTGTGGAAATGACGTTTCAGTACTAATTGATGGATTTGCTAAACTGAATTCTCCAAAAGCTGTCAAGTCAAAAATTGGACTCAGTTACTTAAATTTTTCAACTCATAATTAGAAACTTCCTATAGCAATCAATGCGACACTTACCAGATGAGGCATGCTTATCGAGATCGTATTTATGGGTCTGTAATAAGAAAATATAATTTACTACAGAGCACGATCATTCAACATGCTTTGGAATAGATCATTTTTCAACTACCTTTGCTTGTTGTAAGTTGAGAGCATCTTGAACATTTTTGATAACTTGTTCTTTCATTAAATCATCATCTGTGAATTAAAAGTTCATTTCAATTTTTACTTTGCAGAAATAATTTATAATTTTATCAAGAAAAGTATGAAATACCGTAATCATCGACGTTGGTGTCTACTATTATTCCGGAGTTTGTTGTAATCTCTCGCGATTGATCACCGTCTTCAAGTTTTGATAATATTTGTTCTTCGGTAGCGTCATTTTTTTCAGCGACTAAAAGTAGTATGGATTATTTATAGTACATCGATTACGAATAAATTTGTAATAAAAATAATTCAAATATTAAATACCTCCTAATTTCTTGCTAAAGAAGTGAGCATACAACTCCGTTTGAGTGATTAAGAAATTGAGCTTTCTTTGCTGTCGTTTAGCCTTAAAGTAATTATCTCGAATTAAATATTCGCCATTGTTAAAACATTTTCAAGTTAATTCCAAAATGTTTATACCTCTCTTATTTCTTCATCTAAGCGTCTCTGCTCTTGTGCTTCTTTCTCAGCACGTTTCCTATGTTCTCTTTCTACTTTTTCATATTTTCTCCAATATAGAAGCATCTAAATTATCATGATACGTGATCAATTATGATAATTTGCAACAATCTTAAATAATTAGGATAGCCATCAAAATAGATATACGGAATAATCGCTCACTTCTTTGACCAATCGCTTTGACCTCGGTAAAATATCCTTGGAAGTACGTTGAGATTTAATAGCTTTACGACGGATCTCTTTTTGACAGAGTTGTGACACTTTCTTTAGATTGATTAAAGTGTTATGTTGAATATTCGACCTCGCACGTTGTGCCTAAGAAAAATCAGCAATACGAAATGAATGTTATTAAGCTAAATATATTGAAGGCAGTTCATTGAATATACCTTGATAGCCTCCTTTCTAGAAATAGCTATCCATATTTTTCTACGGATGATTTCAATCTCTTGACGGCGAGATTTTACTTTTTTAACCACTTTTTCAACTGATACACTACCGTCTTCATTTACTGTATCCTTTTCACTCGATTTCTAAATCAGGAAAATTTAGCCATTTCAGTGGAAATATACGACAGTGGTAATCTATTGATTGCGTCTTATTATATATACTACCTTTGGTGTAACCTCTTTAGTGGCTTTTTTCTTTCTACCTCTTTTTCCTTTTTCAGCCTTAACATGTTCGATCTCCGCATCTAAATTAAATGAAACGTTTACTGATTATTACAATTATTTTTTTTAAATCGTATAGCAAAGTACGCAAACTGTACAATTCAATAAGCGTGGTAAAGTAGATTAAAATACGAACATTTCTTATGCTTCTGCTTAGATTTCTTTTTACTTTTTTTTGATTTCGGTTCGACATACTTGTCTTCTTCCAAAAGTAAGCCAGAGGAATAATACTTGTATTGTTTTAACTAATAGTATCCATTGATGTAGTTAGTTATGCTCTAATAATCGACACAGAATCATTTATAACTTAAATTACCTCCTTCTTACGAGAAAATACATTCTGGTATTTTCGTTTTCGTTTATGTAATTTCAATAATACAATCAGATCATCGTGTGTCATAGTGCAATCATCAGTAGAGGATTCAGAACTTTCAGACAGTAACATATCCTAAAAGTGCGAGCAGGACAATAGGATTAGCAACGATAATTATTGTAGCGTTATTAACATTATACCTAGCATTCCGATCGTTGTTAAATTATCGGTAATAAAGAGGGATAGTTATGTATGCAATGGAATTGACTGTAAATAGTTAATCTTATACCAGTAGCATATATCAATATCAATATAAATAAATGTACCTGCAGCCATCTTCTACTTTTATTGACATTTGCAAAGTTATAACTTGTTTTTTTTTTATCTTTGTTTTCTATCAAGAAAGAATAACACACATCAAATTATATCTATATACGCGTATATGGTAATGGATAAGATCTTAAAATATTCTCGCTTTCCAATTAGATACAGAGCACACAATGAATGTTTTATTAATACCGTGAACTTGACATACCGATCATGGAATTTAGGTAGCTATTCAATTAATATTGAATAATTTTTGCACTTACTGATTATCCCTTTCCAAAATCGCTTATCCGATTTACGATCAATAATACCATTCGAAACTTTTTCCTCGTTATATCTATCATCATCGGTCCTATAAAATATATAATGTTGAAGAAAAGATCAGGAAAAGCGACTACTTTTATCAAGTATGATTTCTCTCAGGCAAACACAGCTATTGCAACGTGCATGTACACAGTTCAAATATCATGTCTTCAGAATGTACCTAACTTATATCAAGAGGAAGTACAGTCATCTCTGATCTCATAGAGTAAATGTAGCGAAAATTTTTGATTATCTTTGTAAAACACTATTAATTACAACTTAATGGATACTATGCATAGCATGATTTAAAATTATTATCGTACTAAAAAATTACCGCAACAATGCTTAGATATATAATTTATCTAAAATAGAAGGAAATTATAGTTGCAATAATAACTGTACAATTGCACTAAAAATGCTTCACTTGTATCCAACAATACTCGTAAACATCATACAGAAATATAGTTGCTAGACGTAATTCATGATGTACCTTTGATTTTGTACGTTGAAAAACTTTAAATATACAGTATATAATGCAATTAAGGTTTTAATACGTTGAAGTAAGCCAGTGAAATAGAGCAGTATAGGCATTGCCGAAAGTTATTTTATGACTTATCAGGGATGCAAGTATTTCAGATTTGGTAATAATAACAAAGGTGCACAGTGCACTGTTACAAATACCAGGGTGGCATACTTTGTGTATTGTTGTTATTCTTTACAATGTTTTTAAAGTTCAATTGCATTATAAACTATGTATTACAGTCGATTATTGGCTTTACTTAAGAAAATGATGATGACAATTACTTACTAATGATGGATGGTCGAGTTTATCTTATAGCTGTGTATTTAGACGATTATGATGTCATTATTATACTGTAAATTGGCTACCTTTGGAAAAGTTATTCAAAGTTTCTTAAAAGCAAGAAATGTCCTTGTTGTACAGTTAGCTACTGAGTTAGGATCTCTAAAAGGTAACAACACAGTATTTGGATAGGGTATCTACTTGCATAGGTGAAGGACAATTTGATCTTGAATTTTGTATGCTACTGTACATTGTAACATACATATAGTTGTTAGTAATACTGAAAGAGTAAGTTTTTAACACTGGATAAAATAACCTAAGTACCGTTGACATTGACTGTATTTGAATTATAGCAATATAAATTGTACGTTACGTAAAAGCATTATGCACGACTTGAGAATCTCAAAAAGGGAGTATAGTACCTGTTGAAAAGTGCATTAGAATTACTTTATAAAATTCTATGCAACACTACACTTTTGCCTACTCATCACAATATTGGAGGTTAATTCATTATTTATCTGTAGCCCATGGATCCCTTCAAGCTGAATTGTGATATTGCATAGGGATTTGTTAAAGTTAAGATAGCAAGGACATTTATTTAGTAGAGAAGGTAAGCTGATAGTTTTGATACAGAGCAAGTGGTATATCACTCATTTGGATGCTGCTATTTGTTTACTACTGTACTAACGACTATCGAGTAAGTGTATGGATAATAAATTGTAATTGATCAAGAAGCTAGAGTAGAGTCCTTCAATCAAGGCTCTTACTATAGTATACCGTATGTTCAAGCTTTTTTTTTAGCGTTGTAACTTAGTGTCTACTAAAATACCATGACATCTATTCATCTTCGCCTATGATTGTAAGTATAAGACTAATATCAAGAGGTGGTAAGGTATTGAAAAGCGCACTATATACACATATCACACTCAGGAGATTATGGTAGAATAAAAAGGGTATGATAGGGTATTACAACATCGATGTTATAAAGCGTAGTTTAACCAGCGTAGTTACTACAATAAGAAATATTCTTTAGACGGTCGTTTAGCCATACCAGTTGATTTGGACTCACCTGTAAAGGTCTCGCTTTGGATCTTTGACCAAAGCATCGATGTAATGGATTAACGGTTTCACTTCCACAGCTTTCTCCAAGCTTTGGACGTGTAACGGTGGTGCTGCATTATTGAACATAGCATGTACTGCCATAGCTGTGTTCCGATTAATTTTGTAATCTAAGGTTGGCATACAAGATAGTGAAAAAGAAAGAATAGTGATGGTTTCAATTAATGATTTATTGTAGAGGATAGGTATTATGACTGTACTGTAAGAAGGTTGTTGATCCATGAAGACATCGAGATAAGACTGATTATAATTATAATTACTGTCTATATAATTTTATTGAAGGTAATGTAACAGAATTGTGGGAAACTGCAAAATCAACCTGCCTGAGTGCAGGATTGACACTATCAGGAGCCAGAGGAGGTCATGATGATGATACAAAAAATTGAAATGATGATCGTATAGTAGATCTACTGTACTACAGCAAGATGAAATAGGATGACTTGACGCATAGTCGATTGGGTAATCCTTTCGTTGGGGGTAAAATAGTCCTTCCTTGGTATGCTTGGTGAATGAAGTAAGCTATCCTATCAAGGCTACTACAGTAAGCGATAGACTATTGACTATGTATGACTGATTTCAGTGATATTGGAGAAGAGGAATCCTGTCCTGTCGGTTGTCATCGCCATGTGAGTAGGAAGGTGGAAAAAAAAAATGCAGCCATTGATTGTTTAGTATAAGATGGTAGCAAGGTTTGAGCTAGTAGGTGTAGTTTAGTATAGAATCCATTGAGATGTGAATTTGAGAATGGGATAGTGGATTACGATTGTTGCTTGGCTTGGCTCGTTGAGGCATGCAGTTGGCTTGCATAACACTCTGCTATCCTTGTATATCGACAGTATCAAGAAGATTAAGGACTGTCTAATACTACTAGGCCATGCCATGTTGTC